GCTGTTGATGAAGATCTACAACAAGCTGTTGGAAATATACTTTGTAACCCGCTAAGTTTCTGATCCGTATAGAAGAAATGACTTGACGTTTGTATTGAGAATCCGGATTTTCATGATACCTTTTTATTTGGGTATCTTTCTGTCCCTAATAAAGTATTTGTCACATTTCAATGAATAGATAACTAACTGCTTAAAGCTTCTTATACTTTTACGCTCACGTTTCACCTCGGAATACTGATAAATGTTTTCTAGTTAACTACTGACTATTTAATATTTAGTGTTTATTGTGAATTATGTTTAAGCCATCAGTTAGGGGAACACACAATGGCCTACGACTTATGTGGTGAGAGCAGGCCGTGAGAAAATATGTACAAGGTTTATTCAACAACCAATCATAACAGACTTAACGTGGCAAAATATGATTCGCAGATAGAGAACTCTATTTTGGAGGAATCCCGAAACAACCAATCAGAAGACTGCGCTTGTCTACTTGCATAAGCTATAATTATGTATGTGAAATATATATAAATACGTGTTGATTTTCGTAATAAAACGATCTGTTGCCTGGCCCTTGTCTTCTGTTGTTATACTTATTTCACAGTATTCGAATTTCAGTTGCTTGCTTAAATCTTGCGCTAGCAAAAGCCTCCGTCCATATATCACGCGTAATTTTCCTTATTCAGTTAGTTTAAACCTATTGGAGTACTTCCTCCAATAGTATTGTTTACTCTGGCTAATATTTGACAACTTCATACAATTCTTCTCATTAATAAATTTGAATAAGGCAAGAACGACAAATGTACTAGGATAATCTGAGCACATGTTTTTATTTTTATTATTTTGTGGATTCTTTTCAGTTGGTTCTAACCTGATCAATATCAATAATATAAATTAAATTAAAGATCTGAATATACGTTTTTACAATGATAATGAGTGATTCATTGAAACTGAAAGTAACGTCGGCCAGGAATGATGTAAGTTGTTGAATAATTAGGAGTGAAAAAGACCGACTATTTATAGAAGAATTGGATGACTAAGCTTGGAGACAAAATGACTAAGTTTGACAAATGTTTTGTGGGTGGGAATAAAGCTTAACTGGAAAGAGTATTAAAAGTAATAGATTACGCAACCACAGAGAAACACATTTTTATAAAATGGATAAAAAATGGGTAGGGTGAGTAATATTTAGACGAAAAAATTAGGTTTCTTAGCCAAGACAGAAGATGACGTAGGGAAATTCATGTGGTTTGTTATCACCAAGGCAATGTAAGATTAACCACTGTCTCCTTCTGCGTACTTAGATTTGGTTTTAGCCGTTCAGTGGCGATTACCTCAGCGAAACGAAGCAGGCTAAGTTTCTGTCGTCTGTTTATTGTACTGAGCACCTTCAGATTGTCCACATTATGGCCAGTATTTAGTAGATGGCGTACAATCTCACTGTTTAATACTTGTTGACCCATTAGTCCCAGGCTCTTTGGTATGTGTTTAGCGATGCGGACAATAACTCTTCTCTCTGTTCTTTCAATTTATGTGCTTTGTCCAGTACATGTAAATTGGTAGACGCACTTGGAGGCGATCAGCAGGAAGCCTTTGTTGAACAAAGCTTCGTGCTAGTCGGCGATTGTCAGAGAAGCGTATCTGCAACCTTAAAGGAACTCATGTCCCTCCTGAGATTCGAACTCGCGTTACCCAGTGCTGCAGTCAGTGACGTTATCACTGAGCTATTCGGACCCAGTTCGGGCACTTGAAGGTAACATGGAGTTGCAAGTTGTCCACTTTTGACTGCCTTAAATAATTGGTCGTTTGACAAACACATAGAGGTTTGGCAGCTGGATATGTTTATCCTGCATCTCATTTTACTAGCAGTATCGTCACCTTTGAAGACAAGCTGTGGAAAGATAGGCTTTTTCTCTACTGTGCTGTACTTCACCTTGACAACACTACGTTTCCCATGTTTGTCGATGAACTTCTGTGGGTAACCACTATCAAGCAGGCATTTTTCAAAAACAGATAATTATACCTCGACATTTTCTTTTGTACAAAGCTTCCTTGCACTATCAGACAGTGTTTTCATGAATAACCTCTTGTAATTTATAGGGCAAAAGCTGTTGAAACTCAAGTAAATCGCCCTTCGGGTCTCTTTTCTGTAGATGTACCTCATGACTTTACTATCTTTATCACATCCGATCCTAAGGTCCAAAAAGTGAAACCTGTTCTCATCTTCACACTCCATTTTAAACTTTATATGAATATGAGCCCCTTTAAATACTTTTATTATCGGAGATACGTCACCAAAACCATTACAAACGTGACAAACGTATAGTCGACATACGAGGTATTAAAGTTTGTCCAATCGATTGGGGCCTTTATTTATGTTTGTTCCATTGTTCCCACAAAAATGTCTGCCATAATCGGAACCAGCAGATTCCCATAGGGATTCCATCACTTTGGCGGTACAAAACATTGTAGAATTGAAACTGCATGACCTTAGTGCATATAAGCAGCAGTTGTCTCAGTTCATTTTTGAGCAGAGGAATGGGATCAGCATGCTGACGCATATTTTGTATTGTTTCGTTTAGCAGGATCTTTGCAAACAGCTAAGAGACGCTAGATGACACCACGAATTTATTTGAGATATCGAAATTATCTTATTGTTTAGCGAACTGAAAGGTGTTTTTCAAGCTGGAATATTTACAACCTGCTGATTTGCATGTTTCTACTGTACATGAGAAGAAGCACTATCCTCGGTCGTAGCCTATCCTAATACATAAGGTAACCGTTCCTGAGTGGTGTCCTTGATTCACAAAATATCCTCTTGAAATTTTGTATAATTAGCATTCAACAAAATGCCGTTTATTCCTCGAAGGAGACAAAGAAGAGACATTACAATAGATTAGTTTTTCCTTCAGGTTAGGTAAATCTGTGTCATACAATCCTCGACTAAGAAAAAGTATCATGCAATAAACCCCACTGAAAATTCTCTAAATTACACAAACATTACTCAGAATAAAGCTATTACTATTAGTATTATGGTGAGATCATAAAATTCTTCGTTTTAATACTTCCTACTTTGTATGATGTTTTTGTTAACAAACCAGCACTCAGTATTTGATATCACAACTAGTACCAGACACAACATTCACATCCAATATGCTCTACTTTTATGAAAGTACACTTCAGCCACTGGACTTTGTTATATATATTTCCAAAATAACAATTTATGAGCCATAAGTTCTTCACTAACCTTCTATTTGGATTCAAGTAAATACAGCTGTGAGTGTTTTGAAAAGATTTAAATTAAAAAAAAACTTTGAACTAATTCATCCCTAGCATTTAATACTTGTACCTGAATATCGGAATTCGTGGGATCGCCCATAATTTATGATAACGCCAAGCCAAAAAAAAGTAGTTCCAGCTAGAAGCATCTAGTGTAATATTGTCCGATACTAATGTCCACTATGTCCTGCCTATCGTGTATGATGTAGCAATGAAGACTTCTCACTAAAAAGCACTTTTTTGACTATAAGTAATTTGAGGCAGTCAGCAAAAATATTGTAGATCCAATTTTTGCTTTTTTAATAAAAAAAACTTGTCAGACAGCACTTCAGTCATAGAAGTAAAGCTTTAAGACCAAAAATTAATGTACATCTTATCAGATACAAATTCGTATTTGCCTTTTATTCGGGCATTGTGCTTCGGTGGCACAGTGGTTAGGATTCTCGTCGACCATGCACATGGTCTGAGGTTCGATCCTCTGCCGACGCACGCCTGATATCTATGGTCGGCCTGAGAAATTTGGGCTACTGATATCGAATGCTGAAAATTCCATACTTGTACCAAAAATACAGTGTGGAATCAAGCTGTAATAAAAAAAATAAATCTACCCCACTAATTTTTTCATTCGAGTAGTCTCGGAAATAAAAATGTCTTATGAGACATTCCTGTTGACTAGAAACAAGTTTTCAAACAATAAAATATTTTTATACATGCTAATTTTCCAATGAAGGTTTACCATACAAGGTCTGTATTTTAATTATTTAGATTACTTTAAAGTAAACTGTCGAGATTATAATTGAGTTCTGTCTCATATAAATGTATTGAAATGGAAAGAAATATCTGCATTGAACTCATTCACATAAATTCTAAAATATCCCTTTCTTTTATCGCAGGAGGAAAATAAAACCACTCGTGGACATTACTAAATTAACGCTGATTTAGTAATAAAATGAGCGACATCTGCTCGCAATCAAACTGTCTATGGTTCATTTCTGAATGCGACAATTAAAGTATCACCAAATAATAAATATTTGATTTTTTAATGCTTTTTGCGGTCTACTTCATGAAGGAACTAACTGTCTCTTTAGACATCTTGACAATTACGTCAGAGACTGCTCAGACGTAAAAATCTATTGGAATACAGCTTGGTTCTCTGTATTATATTATTATTACAATTATTGTTCCTTTGGGTTCTCAGTGGAACATAGGGCTTCAACTCCACGTCTCCACGTGCTTCTGTCTTCTTTCTGCTGTACTTTTCACCTGCATCCATGTTAGTCTATACTCTTTCAACTCCTCTTCACACGATCTCCTCCATGTCACCATGTCTGTAGTTCATTCTTTTTTGGTCTGAAACTGAATTAATGAAAGTAACGCTGATAGTAAGATATAAATCTGAAATTTTATAAACACTTGTCAAATTATTATCACTGGAAAGTAGTGAATGCTAATTCTATTATTATTTAAAACTTAAGAACAAAGTCGCGGCAGGATATATTTTCAACTGTTTCTGACGTCATTAATTTGTCCGTGAAAAAAAAATCTGTGAAAATGTGAGACCAGATTCGGTACTTCTTTACACAGTTACCTTATCCCAGTTGTTACTACAAAATTATTGGTTTAAACGAGTGAACATAATTTCTGTATATTGGAAATATTCAGAGCATTTTGATTGGTCAGTTATCTGAGCAAAATAATCATTATCATTTGTCTATAACCAACACTTCAACAAGTGATAAATTTAACTTTTAAATTTACAAATTTTAATAAAAATACCATGTTGAAAAATATATCTTAATTTCAATGTTTCTCTCAGTGATATTTATTCATATGTATATAAGTATTAATAAGATTAAACGCCTAAGTAATGTTTCTTACATGTAATACTAATTGAATATCTGCATCACCGGTTATTTTTATTTATCACGTGTGAACATTGAAAACTGGACGGACTCGAATGTACAGGGAGTGGAATATTGGATTTATAATATGTAAACTATGGATTATATTAATGTGGTTTAATCTGCAACAGTTTTATATTCATGTTTCTACGGAAAACATGGATTATAATAATAACAATAATAATAATCCAAAAAATATTCAAGAAGGAAATTTTGCACAGTGGTATGAGGAACTAAAGAATTCAGGTTTGAAATATGCAGATTCTATTTACTGTGAACCTTGGAGTACTAATATGAGTCAGGATTTAGACAGTGGATTACGAAGCTGTAGTGGTAAGATAATCAAACTTTTTGGATTGTTAATTACTAATAAATAAATAAGTATGCATTCCACCTTCATGAAGACAGGAATAGAGAACACCGACTCTCCTTCATTTCGAATTTATAAATTCTTTCTAAGACCATTCATAAATGCTGACACAAAGAGATGTTAATAGAAACGTCATTATTTATTTAACAAGTGACATGAATAGGACAACTCACAAATGAAACAATATTTACTGATATTTGACTATTTACCTGTGTAGGGTTATTTAAATTCATGTGAAAAAAATATTACGTAATGAGCACCATGATGGTTGAAGCAATGCATTTTATCTAAAAATGTAAATAATTGAATTCTTCTAGACCGCGATGTCTGAAACTGCATTCATAACGTATGCTAATGGTACGAAACAAGAACAGAACAGCGTCGGTGGCACAGTGGTTAGGACGCTCGCCGATCATGTACACTGTTCAGATTCAATCCCTGGCGGATGCACACATGATATCAATGGTGAGCCTACTAAATTTGGGCTACCTTTATTACATGCTGAAAATTCCATACATGTACCAAAATACTGTGTGGAGTCAAGTTATCATCAAAAGAATTGAATGTTATACGGTCTACAGTCTACGCAAAGTCGACCAATAATTAATCGAAATTGTCACTACCCCATTTGTTTATACAAAACTGTTATTTATTTAAGGTCAAAGAGAGTCACCTGTAAAATTCTACTAAGCGATAGTCATGAATGAATCTCATCACAAATACTCACTATTGTGTTGTAGTGGAAACGTTTGATTATACGTTTGCTGAATATCATTATCTTGGCGTGCTTATGTTTTCCACGACACATTGTTGGACACTGCATAAAAACTGACAAAGCAAGATCCAGTGAAATAAGATTGCAGTAAGGTACTGGTGTGTTTTAGTCAGCTGTAGTCTTAATATTAGAAAAAAGTAACTAAGTATCTGAACACCTAGTACAATCATGTGTCCATTATCTCCTCGAGACTAATCAGTTCACATTAGTCACTTGCTAGTAATCTTAACTATCAAGCTGCTGCAAATAATCCTTTTCAGACAAGTATTATTTTATTTTATTTTTTTATTTATTATTTTTGATTACAGCTTGATTCCACACTGTATTTTTGGTACAAGTATGGAATATTCAGCGTGGATATCGGTAGCCCAAATTTCGCAGGCCGACCATAGATACCAGGTGTGCGCCAGCGTGGGCTCGAACCCCGGACCATGTGCATGGTCGGCGAGAGTTCTAACCACTGTGCCACCGACGCGCACAAGTATAACTCTACTATAAATGCTTTCTGAAATTATTATTATTAGAATTAGTACAATACTTAAAGAGCTTTGAATTACTTTCTTTTTGTTAAGGTGATAAGAATTAATTTCATTTTGTTTAGCATTAGACAAATTTTTCTAATCACGCTAAATGGTGATTTTCGTGATTTTCTATGCTAAAATATACTCAAAGCTTTCATGAATACCAGGTTATGTAGATAAGCGAAAACAATATGATTCCAATATCAAGCCAATGATACACAGGACTCATATAGTGCGATTATTGTTCTTCATCTCAATATTATTGATAATATATTATACCTACCAATTTAATTCAGAATAAAATTACGATGACATAAAACTTAGTACCTGGAAATTAGGTGATATGCACTATGACTATTATTATTTTACAAGAAGCACTCAAATCCTTTAGTATTTTATAACCTTCAACTCTCTAGTTACTTAATAAATGACGAAATATTATTTAAAACTTCGTTTAGAAGGGATATTTGAAAGTACGGATAAAACTATTCAGACACCATGTTAAAAATTGTCACATTCAATGAAATAAAGTTCTTAATATTAGATGGTTGGAGGAAATCGGCAGAAAGCAATACTCTAATGCAGTCCTAGAGGAAATCAATAACCAGTAAGAATAGCTCAACAGTAACGTCTATGACTGCAACACTGGGTGATGCTGGTTCGAATCTCAGAAGAGAAATGAGTTCACTCAAGGTGACAGAAACGCCTTCCCGACCTGTCAGTGTCAACAATCAAGAAACCTCTGTCGAGAATGGCTTCCTGACGATTGCTTCCAACCATCGAATGGCAACAATTCAGAGTGAATCGTGATGGAAAACCATCTAGAACGATGGCTACAATGCCAGCTTGACTGGCAAAACTCAGTCTGCAGCAAACAATGGATTAGACACATTACACTAGTCACTAAATAGTGTCCAACCGAAATACAGTCCTACCGATGTGTTAATATGTTACCTACTGAAATCGTTTTGAATTAGATTGATAACACATACACGCTAGACAGTTTTCAAAACGTATCACAATATTTTCATGAAACTGTATATGACTGGTTAGTTAAGGTGAGTAGTTGTATACCCTTCAGACTAAACAGTAGTGCTTGCTAGCAAGATCAGAATGACTTTAACACTGGATGTCTTTTTCGCTTGTTTTGAGGCCGAGCTCATATGGGTATACCTTGTTTGACTTGGCTGAGAGAGCCAAATCCCGTCAAATTATGAGATTTCTGGCTAGCTACTTAATCGAACTGAAGATATCATAAATTACATTTGCAATTTACACACTTCCGCCTGGTAAAATCTCACCACATTTTACTATAAATTCCTAAATTATTCAGATCATCTAGGGCTGTGTAAATTGTCATTTGATTTGTGAATAGGGAATTCTTCTTATTACAATATTTTTACATTAGTAATCTACTAAAACTCAAGATGGAGTAATACAACTTTATTGTCAGAAGACTACTTACCGTTTGACAGTTAGTCATTTTCTGTCATCAACAATTATGTATTATTCGTTATTATTCGTTTACATTAAGAAGCCATAAAATATTCTTTGAAAAAGTGCAAGTTTCACATTTTTTTCCACTTTTTGATTAAATTACTTTTGACATGAAATCCAGAGTTGGAAATATTATTATGCTGGTTTACTTATAATGACGTCGACTAGGCAGTTTTTATTCTGGTAAAAAACTAACTTATGCGCTTGCGTAATTATTTATCGAATAAGTCAGTTTCTGGATGGCGGTACAAAACATATTCAGAAGAGTGCTTGTTTGAAAAAATGAAAGCCGTTATATTTCATAGAGGAATGTGTAGAATGCACACACGATAAGCTTCCTTGACCTTGAATTGACGATTAAAAAATAGATGATACATTTGAATGGGAGTTAAGTGTATTATGAAAATATGAAACGTAATATGATGGTTTAGTCAGCTGAGAACTCCGAGAGAACATTTCTGCAGTTCGCTGAATACGAAACGGTTGGAACTAGTGATTGTTTAAGATTTAGAGAAGGATATTATTTAATCATATTGATTACAGCTTCTGGCTGACAACATGCAAAATACATTCACACTACTGGACTCAGCTAATGGGTGCCAACGATAACCAAAATCTAAAAAATCGCGAACAGTTTTCATTACGATGCCAGCAGACAAGATTATATATCTACTCATAACTAATGGAGGGTTAAAGTGAAAGACAATTGCTGCAGTCTTACATAATTTAGTTATTTGCATTTATATATATATATAAATTAACAGCCGATTGGGTACTGTTTAATTAGAAAATGGAGATTATTTAAAAAATGTGAAATGTATTTGCGCAATACATTTCGAACAATCTGATCATATATTTACCTGTCAAATCAGTTTATATGAAAAATAAAAAGTCAATTAAAATCAGCAGAATGATAATGGATTTTGGAATAGGAATAGTTCATTTTCAAGAGTTAGTTTGTATGGATTTGATTTGTTTCAAGCTTGACCACGGGTTGATATCAGTAAGGAGAGCATGGAAAACAAGGGAGTACAGCACAGCTGTTTCGTTCTAGTTTTTCGACTCATCATCAGTACACACCCGCTGGGTTTCTAATATAGGGCCTCCCTGTTACAAGGCGAGCTTGTCGACTACTAAGCCTCTGGGACCTGACTCATTGGTCCATGAATTGCAACTCCTACCAGTTCGTGATTTCTAGCGCGACCACCACCCAGTGTTATCGACGAATATTTGTTCTCACTTCCAACCGGGTCGATTTGACTGGTCGTGGTATCGTGATGAAAGCCATGAATTGGTACAGAATGGAATTCATGAGCTGGCGATTGAATTATGTGTCAGTAACTGTATGATATATGAGCTTGCCTTGTAACCGGAAGGTCATATAATCAAATCCAGCTGGGTGTGTACTGTCTATGAAACATCTGTTTTCAATGGTTTTCTAACTAACATCAATCCGTGGCCAACCTTAAAACAAGAATAATTAGCGTTAAGTTTGGTTAAATTATCAGACAATCGTCACTAAGGTAAGAGGAGAGGGGCTTAGGTTTTATGAATAGCAAACACCTCAGTGAATTTCAGTAATCGCCCTTCAGCACTTTTATTGGTGACCTTAAAAGCTATGTTAACATCAATCTTGTGGTTCACAATGATTAGATGTATGGCTATAGACAAAGTTGGTAATCAGCCACCTTCGTTCTTCAAGGTTTCATAGTTCACCTATTCTTCTAAATGTTTGGGTGTATGTTCTCCTACCGTTATATGCAACGCGCGATTACTCCTCCATCTAAATTAGAATATAGCGCCGAATGTGACGTATTAACTTGTGTAATGTAGTCAAGCATATTTTTGGCTTTTTCAATAAGCATAAGCCGGGATGTATAGTAAGTTTTGCCGCTTCGAAGAACAGAATTCTGTCGACGTAAAATAAATTTACACATTATGCTTTACAAAAATATTTTATTTTGTATTAGTGATCGAAAGTTATTCGAAAGGCGTTAAATTTGTAGGTTTCAAATGCAACATCAGAAAATTGAAAAATCTAATAACTGGCATGATTCTTCAACTCACTTTATTGGCGGTTTTGTTCTTAAACTAAGCGTTTAATGCTGTAATATCTTTGATTGAACACTATTTCGTAACTATTGTAATGTCTAATCCATTGTTTGCTGCA